GAGTTTGCTCCTGAGGAAAACATCTCGCAGAAGTTAGTGCCCACGTATAGAGGACCGTGGCCAGTTCTAGAAGTTAAGGGCAGAGAGGATGGGCCGTCCTATACCATAGAGATCCCAGCGCACCTCCACACCTACCCTGTGTTTCACGCATCAAAGTTGCTGCCGTGTGTCACAAGTCAGCAATTTCAATCTAGACGATCCATGATCCCTCCAGACATGGACGGAAGATATGACATTGACGGCATTGTAGGTGAAGATGTGTTCAGAACAGGAGGTAGAGGCCGTCCACAGAAATAGTATAAGGTCCGGTTTGCTTATCAGGAGCCGGAGGATGACCGCTGGTTCACGAGAACGGAACTTCTAGAGACAGCTCCCGACATAGTTAGAGCCTATGAGAGAGATAAGAAAGGGAAAGGTCCTGCCTTGGACTGAGTTATTCTCGGAGGACCTCGAATTTAGGCCGGCGGGAGTGAAACGATATTCACCAGTTCGCAGTAGCAGATGCAGATCCCAGGGCTCGATCCCTAGTCCCCACCTTACCTGTGTACAGTTTCTGTGTCGACCCCTAGAGTTGAACCCGCGACCTGTGTATTTGTAACAGTTGGTAGGTTGTCGTAGGGTCCCTAGGTAGCAGGGGTTCGATCTGTAGACCTGTTGAGTAGGAGTCCCAGTCGGGTCTAGCAGTCATAGCTGTAGCTGTCTCGAAGGGTCAAGGTCGTAGCTGCTACAGTCCAGAAAGGTCAAGGGCGTAGCTGCTACAGTAATGAAAGGCCAAGTCTACGGCCTTCCGGAAGGTCCCAATAGTGGCCTTTCGAAGTTGCCCACGTTTAGGCTGAGGCAAGTGGGCAAGTGGTGAGGCAAGTGGGCAAGTGGTGGAGTCTACCCGTGCTGAGTCAACAGTCCCAGTCCCCAGTCAGTCCTGGTCCAGTCAAGCAAGCACCGCATGGGACTGTGTGCACTACGGGCATGGGAAAGGGCCAGACCAACGAGCTGCTGAAGTATAAATCAAGAGGCAGCGCCCAGTCATTCATTCATTCCTGCGTGAGCCATGCGGAAGCGCTGCCGTAAGCGACTTGTGCGAGGTGGTCTGCAGAGACCCCGAAGACGAAGTGGGCGAGAGAGGAGGAGTTAGCCATAGCGATGGGGTACTAGGGCCATAGCCGCCATAGCTGTAGTAGAGTTCAGTGTGTGTGTGTGTGTGTGTGTTCAGAGAATCGTGTGTGGGATATCCAGGGTGATCCTGTGTATGCGAACAGAGAGTTGTGGGCGTTGAGTCGCCATAGCCATCGAAGTGAACTTGAATCTGAACTGTGTTCTCGGTTACCTTATCTCTGAGTTCTGAGTGGGCGCTTGTCGCCAGTTTGCTGCGCACCTGTTTGCATGCATGAGAAGTGTGAATGAGACTGAGTCTGATTGCAGCCAAACATTTTCCAAGATTTGTTGACAACTTTTAAATTTTGAGACGCGCATTCTATTTATCTCAGTTTCTTTTTTCTCATCAAATCGCAATGGTGGATATGCTGCACAGTCCTCTCAAAGGAATTATTCTGACAACTCTGGATCGTTTTTTGAGAGCTTTACTTTTTTTTTTTTTTTTGGGAATGAGAAAGCTTAAAATTGAGAGTCGAGCAGAGCACCACTTCTGCACATGAAAAAAGGAGAGTGGTGAACCGAGGCCTGATCTCCCAAAAGAATTCTGCTGACAACTCGGGATAGTTTTTCCTGAGATTACAATGAAGGGCATACTCACACTAGGAACTTCCACGTATTTTAGGTTGGGTACATCCAGGTGGGGTCATAAATGCAGTCATATACCCTAAAAATAGAGCTAGTGCGTGCACGGGCTTAGAGTTGGTGGATCACCTCACCACATTTGAAAAACACAAAATCCAGAGTCACTGTGGTGGAGCGTGATCTCTTCTCTGACACATCTCTATTTATTCTTTTCCGCCATGAGCGAGGCTGTGTGGGGAGAGAAGAACTATCAAATTATCAATATCCCGTTCTTGGGCCTCGCTCCAGTACTCTCCATTCATCTCAAGAATCGAGAGTAAATCGAGAGTTGTCAGACTCTCTATCTCACCCAAAATCGAGGTCTCTCTACACTCCTCTCGATTAGCCTGACTTTCAAAATACTTTGCGTTCTTTTTCAATTTTTTCCCTTCTCCAAAAGAAAAAAAGAGAAACGAACTCCCTGCTCTCGATTTCACGTCCCACGTTGAGGGTCCCTGAGAGGACTCCCTATTTCGAGAGGGCTGCAGGCGGAGCACTCTGGAGAAAACGGGAGTTCCTGGCTGACAACTCACTATGGATTTCTGAGAGTGGAGGGATTGAGAGTACGTGGAGAGTACTTCTCTCGGCCTTTTTTTTTATAACAGAACCCTGCCTCTACTTTTCGTTATAGAAGCATGATGAGGCCGGGGACCCCACAACTCAACCCTTAGCTTACAGGTTTTACCCTGTAGGATGCCTGAGCTACGGCATTTCCCAATTGAAACTATACCTGAGTATACCTCTCTCGGCCTTTTGGATAAGATCAAGTGTAGCATCGTCTTTGATCAGTATAAAACCACCAGTACCTTTCCCAGCTATCAAGTCCTACCGGTATGCCGGGCCTTGCTGAGCCTCGAGCTACCGGAGGCTACAGGTAGCAGGAAAGTCATCCTTACTGAAAACAAAAAAAAGAACAGAAAAGCAAAAATAAAAATAAAAATAACGAACCAGATTCTAAAAACCAAAAGAGAAGTTCAAAAAACAAAAAAAGAAAAACAATGAAATGAAACGGTAGAGAGATTTATCCGCTTGGGGAAAAAAAAAAAAAAGAAAGGAGAGAGAGAGAGAGAGAGAGAGAGAGAGAGAGAGAGAGAGAGTCCCGAGGATGCATCTTCCTGTATGCTTGAGTAAGATGCATTCTAGTTTTGAACATCAAGACATCCGCTTTGTGTGGGGGGGGGGGGTTGCAAGAGAGAGAGAGAGAGAGAGAGAGAGAGAGAGAGAGAGAGAGAGAGAGAGAGAGAGAGAGAGAGAGAGAGAGAGTCCCGCCGCGTTGTCCAGAGCTGTCCGGAGATCCCGGGCGAACTCGCCGGGACTCTCTCTCTCTGGGGCCGAGCTGTTTGAATGTGCAAAATGGGAATGAATCTTCCCGCGCTGTCGGGAAGATTGAATTTCATTCTCATGTTGCACTTTCGAAAAAAGTCTCTCTCTCCTCTCTCTCTCTCTCTCTCTCTCTCTGTGTGTGTGTGTGTGTGTGTGTGTGTGTGTGTGTGTGTGTCGTTCCCCGGTGCTGTTCCCGCCATGTGCTTCTCATAGGGATAAAAAAAAGAAAAGAGTAAGTGGAGTGATGCTCCATTTACTTCCACAACCCCCCATCGCGGAGGAGCAGTGGATGGGAGGCGCAGCTACTGGCAAAATGCTCGGTCTTTGCGTTAGTCGGCGCCCCCACCATACTCTCTGCCCACTGCCCGTTAGGAGTAGTGGTAGGAAGACTGTGAAAGGTGAGATAGCTTATGCTTTGGCTCCACATGCTTACCAATTTCGTGTTCTCCCCGAAATTCGTAATAGTGACCGGAGGCTCCACATATTTATGTTCGCTGTCATTACGAATGCCGCGGTGCTGCTTTTTCCAAAAAAAAATCTGGATGCATCTGACTGCATTTCTGTCCAGGCCGTGAAACGTCAAATTCTTAGGGCCTCGTTAGACCCTCCTTGGGAAGGCCATTTTCAGGAATTTGGCGTGGTTACACTGCGTCCTAATTCTCCAAATTCCTTGGATAAATGTGAAAACGCTCCCGAGAGATTTCCTTGGGTTCATCAGAATCGCCAGCCAAAGCGTCCTCCGATTCAACGGGCCCTCGCGAGGTCCCTTGGGCTCAAGGAGCCGCGATTGATGGATCGTCGTGGAGTGTGCGTCGACACCGAAAATTGGAGTTGTTTGTGGTCCACAGGTCGTCCGTGGTCCATCGGGCGGACAACATCGGCTTCCGGCAGGCGACAGGCCCCCAATGGCGTTGTGCCGTTACCGTTGGCACGTCGAGGGTCGGGGGGCGGTTCTTCGGCTACGACGCCGCTCATGTGGCAGGGTTCTCCTTGCGCGCGTCGTCGGGCGTGGTGTCCAACGGTCGACGTTTTCGAAAAAAAAAAAATCCCTGCCGTGTGAGCAGCGCCCACCGACTGCTGTTCTCCTCGGCATCGTCCATTGCCCGACATTGACATGTTCGCGGGAGGAATCTCCAGCCGGTGCAGATCGACAGCTTGTGCGATTTATGGCAGACGTCCTCCGACGGCTCCCGCTCCTGTTAGTGGCCACTCCTCTTCTGATCGTAGTCTTGTTGCGCGCCTGTGTTGCTGTGCGGGGTCCTGGGGGCAGACGGAGACGACAAGTTGCAACGAAGGCGACAATGGAAAGGCGGGAAAGCTCCGCCGGACAACACAAACGTGCGATTGACTTCTCCATTAATGAGCGGCCGGTGTCAGGCCATTGTCCACCCGCATATAACCCCACGTTGTACAGTCATCTCCCGCCGCACGAGCAGTCGCTACCGCTGGGTCCGGAAGAGGAATGAGTGGACGATCTGTCCCACACTCTTCCTCTGGGGAGCGGATCTATGCAGGAGTGGATGGGGAGGCACTACCAGCAAAGGGAAGCAAGGACTAGTCGTCAGTCGTTCTCAACAATGCTGCACGAAGGTATCGACAGTGGCGATACGGAGATTGCGGACTTGGATTTCGGCTTGTCAAGCAGGACGGCTGGAGTGGGTGCGAACACTTGTGCATCGAACCACGTGGGCTCCACGACCGTCGGGCAAACGTCTGTGAGTCGAGTTGGAGTGGCGGGGTTAGGCGGAAGATCTTCCCATAGGGGTGGCACGACAGATGGGTGTCGTCCAGCGCCCTCCATTTGTGGAGGTGTGGGACCAGCTGGCGATCCGCCGAGGCCAGTGTTACCCACCCTTTCCACAACGCCTTTGCCTGCACTGTGGTAGAGGGCGGCTGCACCGACGGCGAACACCAGCACTTCTCCACCGGACGAAATTGGGAGGCAGGTGTGGGAGTCCTGTCGCCAACAGATGCGTCGAGCGACTGCTGATAACATAACGAACGGGGTCTCGAGGATGCGTGTGGGGAGCGATGCCGATGCGGATGACACTCGGAGGGCGAGTGGTAAAGAATCTCCACATTCCCATTGCGAGGAGGAACCAGAAGATGCGGAAGACTTGGAGACTCGACCCGTTGGTGTACGTGGTGGACGGAGGGGTGGATGCGGACGTCAACAGAAGGCCGCTTCACGTGGTGGTCGTGGATCGAAGGGTCCTATGGGCAAGAAGGGCGGCAAACATCCAGCTTGGAGTGTTGAGGAGACGGTCAATCTCGCTCGAGTGAAGCGGGATGAGCAAGCTCGTTTCGACAGAATGCCGCACAACTATGGCCGCATGCGCAACAGGGAATGCAAGCTGCACGATCTGCAGAAGCGTCTGGTGGAGGTGGGCGTGAAGAGGACGACCGACGACATCGGCAAAAAGTGTGATAACCTCTTCCAACAATATAAGAAGGTGCAACGATACCAGAATGCGTTCGGGGGGAAGAACTTCTTCATCTTGACGCTTGCGTTGAGATCAGAAGAGGGCTTCAACTTCTGAATGGATCAGCGAGTGTACCTTGAGATCGACAACATGTCTCAAGGCAATAAGACCATCTACCCGGATAACCTCACCGACACGAGCGCGCACGAAGGAGTGCAGATGTCGGGGGATACTCAACGCCAACCATCCGTTGCAGGAGAATTTGCTGCCAGGGGAGATGTGGGTGATGGCAACACCGAAGATGGAGGGTCGGCGCGGGAGTTCGGGTTCAATGCAAGCAGCACGGGTGGCGCTGGCAAGAGAAAGAACATGCGATAGCAAACGTTTGACGCCATCGCCGAAGTAATGGAGAAGCATGGTGCACTGATGGCGGACACTGTAGAGGGGGCAAGCAAGCGGCAGGGGAGCATCCTGGAGCGGCAGTGCGACATACTCGAGCGCGAGGTCGACGCCCAGAAGCGGCACTACGAGGCATCCGACGAGAACAGGATGATGTGCACTGCGTTGTTGGAGATCGCTAAAGCAATAAGGGAGAGGTCATGACGTCGCCTAAAGTCCTACATCTGTGTACATTCTTTCTCAGTCGGTCGTCATGTGCATGCATGTCCTAACGCTACATCCCTCGCTTGTTCTCCGTGGGTGCCGTAGTGATGGCGCTGACTCCGCACGTGCACTCGTGAAGGGCGCTGTTGAAGGCAATACATGCGTGCGGTTTGACAGTTCGTGCAGGTTGACGGGAGCGCCGTGTGTCATTGTTGGGAGTAGTTACTTTTCTTCGCCACGTGTAGGTGATCGTGTGTATATATATATATAGCTCTCTGCTTTTGCAGATGATGCGGCGAGCGTCGGGCCTGTACTAGCAGGCTATGCTTTCGTTATGGTAGAAAAAAATTCTACATTTGTTCTTGTCATTCCCTCTTCTCTGCTTCTTTTCCTTTACCTTTTCCCTATTGCTGGGGTATTCCGTATTGCGGGCCTACTGTATGGTTCCGTTTTTTTACTATGGATATGGTTATGGTAGAATTTGTTTTGCTGATCTTGTCTGTTTCCTGGTTGGTTTGGTCCCGTTGTTCGGGCTATTTCATGGGCGTGGCGGTGCTTTCATGTGGGACCAGTCATTCGGGTTTTTGGCATCCTGGTTGGTGGTTTCCCGTTGTTCGGCCTTTTAAGCGGAGGGGCGGTGCTTGTATGTGGGAATCGTCATCCGGGATCGTCTTCTCTTTTTAGGTTGTCACACTGTGGATCGGAGCTATTTTACTATACTATGGATATGGTAGAATTTGTCTTGGTGGTGATTTTGGCACCCTTGTCTGCACCCCGGTTGGTTTAGTTCCGTCGTACGGCTTACGGTAGTAGCTCCGTAGCGGTGATTTCATGTGGGACTTGTCAGCCGGGTTTTTTCCTTTTTTGGCATTCTAGGTGGTTGCTTCCCGTTGTTCGGCCTGTGCGGGGGCGGTGCTTTTTTTTTTTTTTTTTTTCCTTTTCTTTTGTGTGGGAATCGACATCTAGGATTGTCCTTTATGTTTTTTTGCTGTTGGTGCTGTCCCAGTAATTTAGCTTAGACCAGCGAAACGGTGGCTTGACAGTTTGAATCTGTACCAATTTTTGCAACAACAACAATAAAATCAATCGCAAAGGATTCTTGGAGCTGGCGCGCATGAAAGGTATGTTATCTGGGATTGTTTGTTTGCAGGCAAGGGTGTTCTTGAATCCTGGTTGGTCTTGTCCCGTTGTTTGGCCCTGGTGGTGGGGGCAGTGCTTGCATGTGGGACTTGTCATCTAGGATTGGTTTATGTTTGTTTCCCCCTGTTTTGTTGTATTTGGCTGTTCCCTTCCTCTTTTCTTTGCCTCTTTGCCTTTTGGCTGTGTGCAAGTGGGTCGATATGACACACGGGGGTGGGGGCAGCCGCCGCTCAACCTACATCCACGTGGGCGGCCTTGTACGCAAGAGGTTCTGAACAGGGGGAGTTATAAGGAAGAAGATAAAAAACTGAATTCATTTTGTCTCGTTTTCCTTCTTTTATTCTTTTTTTCGCATTTGCGCTCTGATATTTTGTGACAATATATATATTCACAGCCCCTCGTTTGTTGTCCTCTTCTTTCTCTCTGCCTACGGTTTTACCGGGCAGTTCTGTTTGTGACGATATATATATATATATATATATATATATATATAGGAAGTAGGTAGTTCCCCGAGGTTGGAATTTCCCCGGCTCCGTCGGCGACTGGTATTCTTTGCATTTCCTTCTTGTTTACGTGTCGGGGAATCTTAATAGCGTGTCGTGAGCTGCAGTGCCGTCTGTGCAATGTGCGTGCGTGTGTGTGTGTCTGTGTTGGTGTGTTTGTGTGTGTTTGTTCGTGTAAGTGGCATGTCTTTGGAGGGGTGTTTCATAACATCGAAAATGTGCAGTAATTGCAATGGCATTGGAGAGAACACCCGTCTTTGAACCCAACAATTAGCAGGGTTTCGTGTTCGTGGCATGCCATGCTCAGTGATGGTCATTGTCGAGGGATGGGCATAGTGGACGCGTCGGCGGCCGGTGGTTGGACCCCTTCACGAGGGATGGCCTGTGTCGAGGGGCGGGGTTGTTATGGCTTTGGGGTGCGTAATCCTATGGACCGCCTGCGCTTGTCTGGATGGGTCAAATCGAGGCCGTCATTCTGGGAGTGTGCCGTGGCAGGGAAAGGTCACCGCCACCAATATAAAGGTCGGTGCATGTCTGCTGGCTTTCATGTCCTGCGCTTCGTGGGCGTCCATTCCTTGCCTCGCCTCGGGGCTGTCTTCCAGTGCGCCGGGAGTTGATCATCCTCACCATCGCCAAACACCAGCGGTGTCTTCACTTGCACGTATCTCTCTTCTTTATCTGTCCGCGACGTTGTCCGAGGCACGCGGCAGACTCACAACGCCTTCATTTGCGAGGCGGGCGAGAGCGATCAGTAGCGCATGGTGCCACGTGGATAGTCCCAATTGAAAAGGCGAGAGGGCGGATCCAGCGAAGGCGCTGGTGGGCAAATCGGAAGGGGCCACGTCCTGAAGTCCAAAATGTTGTGAGGGTTTGACGGATCGGAGGGCGAGATGGGGGGTCAGGGAGGACAGGACGTGTCGCCCATGGATATCCCTTCCACGGCCACGCCAACGTTCGGGTTCGGGAGAGACGGTGTCAGCAGGGAGCGGATGATTGCACTTGCCAAGCTTGGTCTTCTAGGGACTCCACGTTGCGGCAGGAGCGAAACCGTGCGTTCTCAAGGGATTGTCAACAATGACACAGCACCGCAAAGGCCTGCCAGTTTAACGTCCACGATTGTTTCCGTTGTCGAACGCACGGATAAAGGACAAGTCTCTAGGTCTCCCTTGCGCCACGTGGAGCCGTCGAACACGTTGATGGCCGGGGGGTTGTCGAGGGTTGTCGCACCTTCCGCACAAGTAGGAAGCGACAGTATCCATGCCACCGCCACTGTTGTGGGAGAAAGGCGAGAAGATGGGAGGGTCGAAGAGGCGGGGAGGAAAGAGGAGAGGAGGGATGAGACTCCACGGGCGGACGACGAGGACGGCGAGTTTCTCAACTTGAGGAAGAAAAGAACGTGTCAGGAGGAAGAGTTGGTGGCGAAATCCAAGCTCTACGTAGACGGGAAGGCGTTTTGGGGAAGAGGACCTGGTCGCATGATTGTGGACGCCGTGCATAATTGCGTGGACTATAATTGTGCAATCGAGAACGGTGATGCAGGCGCCGCCGCTCCACATGGCGTCATCATGCCACCCCCCGGTGTTCCACGTGTGCGAATCGAAGATCCTGCGCAGCGAGAGCAAGCTCTGCGACGGGCGAGATGAACGGAGAACGTCGCTATGCGCGTCATCCACGGGTGGATATTCAGATCGTCTTCAAGGTCCGATGGTTTCGCCCGCGCCGAGTCGTATGTCGCCATCGATTACCCCACCGATCTGGCGAAAGCAGTTTGGCAGATCGCGGAGTGGTCGAGGGTAGTGCCGCCTAGTGTCGTCTACCGCATGCTCACTTTAAAGATGGACGTTCCATTGTGGTATGCGGGGCCATATATCGAGGATAGGCCCGAGGACGACGACATGGCAGCCCATCAGGAGTCCACGGTGATGCGTTTGGCGTCCTGTTTTCACGATGCGCTCTGAGCCAGGCAGTGGTCCGACGGCGGGAAAATGTCCCAGTCAAGACTTAGCAGAGTTGCAAACACTTTCCGCCTCCTTCTCACCTCGTGCATGTGGGTCATGCTTATGGGGGGCGACAATGCACGCCCCTACGAAGAGGCGTCGTACTGCGCGCAGCTCGTGGCGAAGCCCACGATTGTGGTGGCTGGTTCGCTTTCCTTTAACTAGCACCGACATGTTCTCTTGTCCGTAAATGCCATATTAACTCGCCTCGGGAAGCCGCCCTTGACGATGGGTGCGTTTCCTAACTACATCCCGGAGTGGGCTTCATGTGGAGTGCACTTCAACTACCACGCTGGTTTGGCGGACCCCAACATCGCGGCAAAGATGGACTCGATGGGGACGGGACCTTTTGATGGCGATCGCAAGGAGTACGGTCCCGACGACAAAGCAGGGAATCAAATGTGGTGGATATGGCCGTCCTGCACATCGTGGCAGCATGCTTCGCCTGTGGAGTGGAATGGTCCGCGGTCTTCAGCGGCACGCTCGTCGTGTTGGTTTGTGTATGGCGGGTGTGAGGGCAGAGGGGAAGGGGTGTCGACGCAGGATTAGAATGGGGGTCAAGCTGGCAGACGGAGGCAGGGGTGGCGAGGTTCCGGGCGGGTAGGGGGGGATGTGTAGATGCGTGTCGGCGATCGAGGGGCGCTTTGAAGTTGGTGCGACCGTTTTGTTTCACCATAGTTGTGTAGTGTGCCACGTCGGCCGCCGACGTGCATGTTCGTGGCAGTCGACCGCGGATGTGGTCGGTTTCGTTTTCGTTTTATTGCGGATTTATGCAGTGCATGCACTGCTCAGTGAAGGCCATGTGATTAATGGCACCTTTTCGGGGATAACACAACAAGAAGGGATGCGTATTTTCAATTTCTTTCATGGATGCAGGGCATGTATTGAATGGTACATTTTGCGAGATTTTCCTTTCGCGTCTTTGGAAATTATGTTTTTGCATCGAATGATTGATTGATTGATTGATTGATTGATTGATTAATCTATTTATCGATTGGTCAGCCGATCGATTGATCCATTGATTGATTGACCGGTTGGTCGGCTAATTGCTTCATCGATTGATCGATTGATTCATTGATTGATTTATTGGTGGATGAATTGAATGCCATAGGGAATGTGCATGGATAGACAAGAAGGTGCTTCATTTGTTGCTGCATGAACTGAATGACACAAAAAATCCGCATCAATCGATTAACGCAACAAAAGAACTCATAGATGACACAAAAGCGCATCCATGGATGCGGATATTAAAAAATGGCACAAGAAAGACGACACCGCCGTCTGCGAAAACAACGTCATGGAACGACGCTCCGTCGCTCTTCAAAGGTTCGCAAACTAATTAACAGTCATGCCAAGTAAACGATAGTAAAAGGGGGGAAAAAAATGTCTCAACGGACAAGACCATAAGGTAAATAAATCAAAACAACTGCAGCGACCCTGCAGAATTGTTCCCAGCACACTACGCTCCTGCCGGAGCACAACAACAGCCGCCGCCTCCCGTACATCACCACGCCCCCCCCCCCCTCTCCCTTTGAGATCGATGCCGTAGCTACCACCGCCGAGGGAGTTTGCGTGTTCACGTGTGCTTCATGCGCTCCGCCAACGCACGGGGTCGATTAAAGTTTTCCATGATGGGGTGGGGTGGGTGATCCAACCCCAAGTCCACTCGTCGGCGCGCGCCATTAGCGTCCACCTCCCACAACAAGTTCTCGTCGAAGTCCATGCCAGCATCGAGGAGGATGTTGTGCAGAATGCACATGGCTTGGAACTGTTGCAGGAGAGCGTCCATATTCGTCTTGTGTGTGCGGAGGAACAGCCTCCACATCCCCTTCAATCTCCCGAAAGCTTTCTCCACTGCTCCTCTGGCGACCTTCTGCTTGTTGTCGAACCTCTCTTCGCCGGCGCATTGATCGGTCCCCCCGTAAGGCACGACGATCCACTCCAGAGGAGGATAGCCGTTATCGCTGAGAATGTTCTTGTTCCTTTGACAGACTTTACAACTGCGGACATACTCTATGCAGTCATTTTTCATTCCTGGCCATGTGTACGCGTGCATAAGGTTGGCTAAAGTCTTTTGCCAACCGAAGTGTCCCTCTGTATCATGGCATTCCCCGAGGATCAGGCTGCGGATCTCCTCACTGTTGGGAACGCATAGGCGGTCTACTACATTAGTCTTCTCAAATAATAACCCCTCTGTAGTGCGGTAATCTGGCTCGGTCTTTGGGGCCTCCTTAACCTTCTTGAGGAGGTCACTATAGATAGGGTCTTGCGCATACGCCTGTCTAACTTTCTCTTGCAGGTCACGCCCTATGTCCAGATAGTGAACTATGGCTCCAAAGTAGTCTGACCTCCTACTCAGAGCATCCGCAACTACATTGTACTTGCCCTTCACAGGCTTGAGCTCAAAGTCGTACTGGTCTATCTCAGTAGCCCACCTTGTTAACTTAGGTGTCATCTTGGCATGTGTCTTCAACCATCTAAGTGTCTCGTGGTCTAAATACACCTTGAAGTGCCTCCCAAGCAGGTAATGCTTCCAGTTCTCTAAAGCCTACCTGAGAGCGTAGAGTTCCCTCTCATACATCGAGGTAGCAACCTTCTCTGAAGGCATCCTCGCTGACATGAACTCTACGGGTTTGTAGCCATTGTCGTCGTCCTGCTGTAACACTGACTTGCGTCCGTGGTGACGACAAATGGCAAGGACGGATCTGCTACTTTGAGGATAGGGTACTCTATCAATGCGCGCTTTAACTTCTTTAGCGCAGACGTACAATTGTTATCCCACTGCCAGATTGCCTCTTTCTTGAGCAATCTGCGAAGGGGAGCGGCTATAGTGGAGAAGTTCCTCACGGACTTCCTATAATAGTTAGCCAGGCCTAAGAAGGACCGCAACTCAGTCAATGTGCGGGGCGTCGGCCAATCTCTAATCGCCGCTATCTTACTGTCATCAAGCTTAATGCCATCTCCGTCTAACACATGGCCCAAGTACAAAACTTGTGTCTTGGCCCACTCACACTTCTTTGCATTGATCTTGAAGTTAGCTTCTCTCAGCTTCTCCAAGACCTGCCTCAAATGACCCTGGTGCTCTTGGAGGGTCCTACTGAAGACTAAGATGTCGTCTAAATACACTACGACGAATCTATCTAACCAAGGCCTAAACAGATCATTCATACATCGCTGAAATGTCGCTGGCGCATTGGTTAGTCCAAAGGGCATCACTATGAACTCATAATGCCCATATCTAGTCCGGAACGCAGTCTTGTACTGGTCATCAGGATGGACTTCTCTCTGATGATAACCGAACTTCAAGTCTATCTTTGAGAAATACTTGGAACCCTGCACCCGATCTTAGAGATCGTCTATCCTGGGCAGTGGTTCAACATTCTTGACTATGATAGCATTCAAACCCCCATAGTCTATACACATTTGCAACTCTCCTTCCTTCTTGAGGACAAGTAAGACTGGTGCTCCAAAAGGAGACGAACTGGGCCTAATCCAACCCTTCTCGAGGAGTTTGTCTAATTGCTTGCGCAACTCTCTCTAGGGGACATCCTGTAGACTGCTCCCTTAGGAGTCTTACTGCCAGGCTCTATCTCTATTCTATGCTGGATCGGCCGCGACACTACTCCTGTCGGCGGCTCTGTCAAGTCTTGGCAATGGCTGGATCTGTGGAACTATCCCCTTCCTTAGGCTCAGTGTCAAGTCTAACATATACTACAAAGACCTGGTCCTCTAACTGCTCCTTTCTCACTAGTCGCGCGGACGCGGGAGCATTGAGACAGCAATGTGCCAGCGAGTTGGCTACTCCTGACACATGAAACAGACGGGTTGTCTTCACCTCGCCTGACGGACTAGGGAGCCTACACTCATGCTCTCTCAAGTGGAGTGTGGCCCCTACTGCCTCTCCCCAGTCCATACCTAGTACTATGTCAAAGGGAAGGTCATCCTGAACAAGGAGAGTCAGGGAATGGATAACTTCTCCACCTTCCCATCTTTCTCCAGGCGGAAGTACGCCTGGACTCCCTCTACGTAGTCCTCAACACGCATAGTGCGGTTGTCTGCGAGGACACTTACTATGGGGTCTTTCAACTTTTGGACTTTCAATCCTAGCCTCAACTTCTTCAGCGCTCTACGGCTAATATAACTACGGGTAGCCCCTGAATCTATTAGGGCCCCTACTCTGCTCCTAACAACTTCTACATCCACCAGCACTAGCTGCCCTTTACTGTCTTTCTTCATCTTGGCCCAGGCAGGCAACCTCTCCTTCAATCCCTCTGCCACGCCTGTGAGGGACGTGCCTAGAGAGACGCTGACACAAGCAGTCTCTGGACAACTAACTAAGCACGGGCCTGCAACCTCTGCCGAAGGCTCATGTGGTGTGGGAGTTTCCTGTACACACGCGCTCGCTTCCCCACATGGCCCAATAGTAGGGGCAGTTGCGACCCCTACCGGCGGCTGCCTTTTGACTCCTGGGCAGCCCATCAGGCCTGTCTATACTTAGGACAATATTTAATGATATGGGCAGGGTCACCACATTAAATGCAATGCCCCTACTCCATTCGCTGTTGCCACACTTTCTGATCCAGACCCAAGTCCTCCCAAGGCCGGCCTTGTGGCCAGCCTGGGTGCCAACCTCCTGACCTTTGAGGTGACCTGCCACCTCGTCGCTATGGGGACCGACTGGGACCTTGACGATTCAGCGGGGGACCTTGACCCCTGCCTCCCACTTGGCGGTTCCCTTGACCGCCAACCCCCTGTGCGCCTGATCCTCGGCTTCCCATGGCCTGGCCCCTTTGGACCTAGCCTCCTCCTCTACCTTGCGGCCTCCCTGCAGCCGCGACAGCAACATAGGACCTCCCCTGTCCTACGCTACTGTCCTCCTCCTCGAGGCCCCACTCAATTTGGCTGTAAGGGAGCTCGTCGGTACCACCTTCATCTAAAGTAAGGATCAAATGATCCTTGGCCCGGATCTGGCCAGAGATGGTACGACCCTTCCACTTTTTACCCTTATCTAAGTCCTTGTGCCAAAAAGTGGTAACTGGCATAGACCTTGCCTCGTACAAGACCACCTCCCTACTCAACACGTCATACGTAATGTTGGGTTGTTGGGTCTTGTCAAAGAAATGCCCTCGTAAGGGCTCTGGGATGGCACGATAGAACAATTGGACCAGCTGGGTCTCAGTGACCCCGTGGTCCGGGGCGGCTACTAAGTCGTCCATGACAGCTTTAGTGCTCTCGCACTCCTCCACTGTTGTGAATGGATGGTCTGTAACTTATCAGAGGCCCTGACGCCTCTAGTGACGTCAGCAAACCTCTCCCGCAGGAGTTTGAGGAAAGTGGTGAGGGGGGTAAGCCTGGAATATGCGATCATATTGTGGTCGCAATCTGCGGCACGTGCGAGGGACTTGGCGAAGTTGGCTGCTTCGTCTTTCAAGGCGTGGAAGGCAACGAGGACTTGTTCCTCGGGGGCAATATGCTGTAAAAAGACAGGTGTTTATGCTGGCCTCCCAATTATCAAAATTTTCCTCTTTCTTCCCGCTATATGGGTCAGGGAATTTCAACTTGACTGGCTCTTTGCGAGGACGCGCCGTGGCCTCTGTTGTGGCCACAACTTTAGCGGTCTCAATGGCGCCGTCGCAGAACTTGTCCACGCCATCCCTCAATCTTCTAATTTCAGACCCGACATGGCCCACCACGTCGCTCGCAAACTCCCTGAACCCAGATCGCATCGCTTGCAGGGTCACCTCTTGACCCTTACGGGCCTGGTGCTCCTCCAGCCAGGGCTCACTCAAGACTTCCAGGAAGCCCATCATCTTATTGAGTTTGGCAGAGACCTCTGTCTAGGCCTGCAACTCCTGCCTGCCGTTTCGCACTCGCTCAACCTCCCCGGCTATTCTACTGGCTTCCTCACTCCTTCTTTTCTTTTCCCTCACTATCTTCAACTTCCACTCCAACTTCTTCTCATCCTCTGTCGCCTGGCGTTCCAGGGGATCCTCTATCAATTCCAGTGCCCTGGCAAACACCTCCCTCTCCTCCTGCGGCACATATAGCTGTGCCTCTTCATCTTCTCCCAAAGATAAGTTAGCCACCCATTCACTAATCTTCTTCTCCCTCCATTTGTCTTCCTCCTTCGCGCCACTTGCTTCTCCTCTCTGTTCCCCATGCCTTCTTTCAAGGGGCTCTTCTTCTTCTTCTTCCTCCTCCTCTGCTGCTGCTTCTTCCTCTGCAGCCCTTCTTCTTTCCTCCTCCTCTAACTGTATTTGCAACATCTTTTCCTTTTGAAATCTCAACATCTCCTCCTCCAATCTCTTCTTCTTCGCCGCCTGCTCCTCTGCTATGGCCTTTAACTTCGCCTGCTTAAGGAGCTCCTTCTTCTCCTTTTTCTCTCTCAAAAGGGCGGCAATCCGGGCCTGCTCGGCCTCGGAGGGGGCAATGCTCTTCACAGTACGGGTGTCAACCATGGTGATTGGTGCACAACCAGACAACGGTTCCACTCCTCACCACTTAGACTCTACTCCCCCTGACTGACACACCTACTGGCTCAATCTAAGACTTACAGAATCCGGACAGGATCCTGTCAACTAGGGTCTCTAGCCTAGACCTACTCTAAGGCTGTCACTACAAGACCTGTTGCTGATCAGGAGGCATTTAAGGAGATCCCCCGTAACTCCTCAGGAATTCTTTAACGTCGCAAACAGGACGACGCGATCAGCAGGTCTTCTCAACACTTAGACGGCCTGTTGTGCAGCCCACAGCTCGGATTTTGGGCCAACCGTGCCACACCGAGCAGCCCGCTGGTCAGTACCGGTCCTTGGGAGGGTTCATGTCCTTCGGGACAGTCGAGTCGTCAGACACAGTCTTTAGCCCTACTCAGCCCGTGTGGGTTTGGTCAACAAGGCCCTTTGGGACAGTCGAGTCGTCAGACACAGTCTTTAGCCCTACTCAGCCCGTGTGGGTTTGGTCAACAAGGCCCTATCCTTCATCCACAAAGTTCCTAACACCTGGACAGAAGAGACTCAATGCAGAAAGAAGAGACAGACATACTTGACTCATCAAGTACCACAGGGTGTGTGCACATCCATAGGGCGAGGGGATAGGCTGAAGGCTTGGCCAGATTATACCAACTCCAGCTTGGTCAGACTCGTGGTCAACGACCTTGTTCAACGCCTTGGTCAATGCTCGGTCAACGCTGCAGTCGACCCCCGGTCAACTCTGGTCAACTCCGGTTAACACCTCCGGTCAACTCTCGGTCAACGCTGGTCAACCCCGGTCAACACCTCCGGTCAACTCCGACTATGGCGGCCAGCTTCACCTTCATCGCCACCCTTCTCCTTTCTTCTGCCTACCTCGCCTCCTTTCTCTTCACCCCTGCTGTCTTCTTTCTCTCTTTTTTTTTTTTTTTTTTTTTTTGTGTTAGTCTCTCCCTATACCTCCTCGGCTATGGCTTCTTTCACCTTCCTCAGTCTCCTCCTCTGTCCTTTCTCT